TGAGAAGGGGGGGGCTGAAACCCTGTCCCCGTGCAGGGGGAGGGGCCTGCACCCCCCCCCATCTGCCCTTCACTAGGGAAGCAGGAAGTGCGAGGCCAGTCCCCAGTGTCCCGGGGGGGGGTCACCTCCTCCCCCCCCAGGTAATCCCTGGCCTGAGGCTTCCTTCCCCCCTCTCTGTCCTGCCCTGGGGGGCACTGGAAGGGGAGGTCTTCAGCCCCCAGTTGTCCTCCAAAGAGGTGACGATGCAAAGGGCTCCCTGCCCTGCTTCAGGCCGAGAGGTGAAACCTCAAGCTTCCCTGGCCACTAAGGTGTGGGGTAGGGATGTTAGATTTTGGTTAATTGAATAGTCGATTGACCAAATATCGGTTAATTGACTAGTCGATTGACCTCATGAATTGTTATTGGTTACTCGACTATTCTATGGCCCCGGGGAGTGGGGCTGGCAGCCAGTGCGCTCTGGCCCAACTCCCAAGGAGTCCCCTGCCACGCCGCGCTGCTACCGCTGTATCAGAGGTAGCCATGTGGACTGCCAGGCGCTAGCTGGTCCGCGAGGGGAGCCGGTTTAAAAACCAGCTTCCCTTGTAGCCCCAAACCTTTGATACAGAGGCAGCAGCGTGGGGTGACAGCAGACCCTGTCCAGCAGGTGGGGGAGAGGGGGATCTGAGCTCCTGGACCCAGTGCGAGCTGGAACTGAGCCAGGCTGCTGGCCCCGGCTGCTAAAAAATGTACCTGGGAGGCTGGGGGGGGGAGAAATGCGTGTAGTCTATAGCATTAGTCGATAAGGTTTTGCTTATTGGTTAATCGACTACGCTATTACATCCCCAGCTGGGAGGGCGTATATCCTAATCCTCCCTATGGAGAGAGGGGGAAGAGACACTTGTAGGCACATCAGGCACTTACCCCAGAAAGCAGAAGGCACCTCTCTCCTGATGCTCTAAGAGCCCCTTTGGGAACGTAGGGATGGTTAAACCCTTCTGAGAGTGGAGATAAACCATAGCTCACCCTTCACAGTGGCTCCAGGCCTGCTAGATAGCAAGGGCACCCATTCTCTCTAATGTTGCAGGAAAGCCTCAGGGGAGAGGCTCAGTGGCATAGAATTGTAGAACTGGAAGGGGCCTCAAGAGGTCATCTAGCTCGGTCTACAACATCAAGGGAGGACTCCCAATTCCTACAGTGAGAAGAGCAAATTTCAGTTCCGCAGACCAAGGATAAGTAGAGGCTGAAGCACCGGAGCTCCTCCTCATGCCGTTGGAGAAGAGTTTTCCTTTTGAGTACCCTCTCTGGACATGTGTATCCTAGTAAAATAGTCCCGTATCTCGTTAGAGTTGGTGGTATGTGTGGTGTATTAGATGGACTGTCACAAGCAACCCCAGCACTTCTGCAATAGGATGAAGGAGGTGGGTGGACCAATCCAATCTGTGGTCTCCATTTAGATCCAAAATGGTTAGTCAGAGGTTGTCCTTATGTTCCTGATGTTCTAGTTACATCACACACCACAGCTTGGCGACTTCCTGGCTGTGGAGATGTCCTGGCGAAGCAGGAGGCTATTTGAGGAAAGGAACAGATAATGTAGCTTGGCCAGATTAGATCAGACACATAATATCTTTTTTCCTGATATATGGGAACGTGTGGAGATTCTCTGTTGAAAGGGTGCCGCAGTTTCCCCACCTGTAAAATTAGAAAAAGGGTGCCTCAGTTTCCCCACCTGTAAAATTAGACTATCTACCTACCTCCTGAGAGAGCAGGTGTAGGAAGATTGTAAGGCTTTTAATATTTGTGATGCACTTTAAGATTCTTGGATGAAAGAACTTAATGAAGAGCAAGCTGCTGTAGCAAAACCTCATCAATCTGGATCCTGAAACAGATGCTGTCCTCCAATTCCTGGGTATTTCATAGATGATGGACAGCTTTTAGTTATCCAGACTGATTCAGGGTCATACTGACATTTAGGTAAATGAGATGGTGCTGTACTATTGCTTTTCCCTTCTGCACCATGAAAGGAGGTAAGAGGATGCTTTGGAGATTTTTGTTTTACTTTAAAAATCATTCATACATGACAGGAATGATGAGCCAGAAAATTTCATTAGCTTCCATTACAGGTAGCTCACCCCTCTGCAACTGCATATAGTCCTGTTGAGATTGGTGCTTGTCCATCCGAAATGCAAATCGATCCTTTAGCTCTCTGTTTGCAAACTCACCCTGCATCCCCTCAAGGTAGTAGCCCAGCTTTCTGGTATTTTCTCTTCTCTTTCTCCCTCCCAAATCATGTTCGACTCCCTCTTTATGCCTCTCGCCTCTGTTGCTGACTTAAGCAGTTTTCTCTCCTATGTTACAACTGTCCTTTTGTTATAAAGCAATGCTGCCCTAAATTGCTCACAACTAATTCTCTTCCGTAACTGGGATTCAGGATTTCCTGATGCCATTAGTGAGTTTTTTGGAACAAGAACTCCGGGCCCATGTATGAGATACATTGTTCAAATATTCACAGTATAAACATGTGAGCATTGACTGCCTCTTTTCTTTTGCCCTGTTGTATATTTCTATAAGCATTCCTACCCAGGCCTCTTTATTTCTAAGTCAGAGTCTTCAGTTTTGCTTGCATGGGCATTAGACATCCTGGACTCTTTATAAGATTAATGGTTTGACTTGGCTTTTATTGTTATAATTAGGAGCACCCAGAACCCCAACTGGGATCAGGGCAGCATTGTGCTAGTCCTCTCCCACTCTGTAGTTGGGAACTGTGTTGTTCTCTTGAACATCTGCTGTCTTCACCCCGAGGGAGATGGCGTGTCACAGCATTCAGGTATTCTGGAGGATGATATGGACTCTAAAAATGTGAGCTATTATTACCCAGACTTTATAAATAATATGTTCAGGATTTATACCTGCCAAACCAATGAATTGTTTCACTTTTTCAACCTCTCCAGTATTGGGGTGACAACCTCTTTATCTTCTGCTGTTCCTGTCGCACACAACCTGATGGGAACCTGCTTGAATTAAGGGTCACCCCTCTTTCAGTCAGCTCCTCAAGTTCTGGGGGGAGCAAGAGATATCCCATCATGCGCCAGACAACCAGTAATGTCATGACAAGGCAGGTCAGGGCCTATTTCTGAAGTAAGACTCTCTTATGCTCTTTTGAAAGCCTGTCATTGTGAATCAGCCTGTGTAAACTTTCCTTAAGGAGCGTGAAACTGGGAGGATAACTCTTTAGTTCTAAAGTTGACTTGGGCTCTGACTCGCTTTGTAGCATTGGCCATGTCACTTCCTTGCTTTGTGCCTCAAGTTTCCCCATCTGTAAAATGTGGCAAGCATTGGTTTCATGGGGCAATGGGCTGATGTTTGCAAAGGGCTACATTAGGATTTTATTTCAGATCTCTGAATTGTCCAGTAGAAGTCCATGGACCTGTTTATTTCTAGGGTGAGGTAGCTCAGACAGTGACTTGGACCTGGTCTACACTCAAAACGGGTCAACGTAGCTGCTTCACTCAGGGCTGTAAAAAGTTTCCTGCCCTGAGCACTGTGGTTAGGTTGACCTGAACCCTGGTGTAGTTGCAGCTGGGTCGACAGAAGGATTCTCCTGTCAACTTAGCTGCTGCCATTCTAGAGATGTTACCTGTTTTGATGGAAAACCCATTTCTGTTGCTGTAGTCTTTGCTAATGCTCTATGTAGACCCGGCTGTAACATCCTAGGTGTGCTGCTGTAGCGTAGATGTAGCCTAAGACTGAGTCAAAACTTCTGTTCCTAGCTCTTCACGAGACCTTTGGCAAGAAACTCTCTGTCTGTCTGTTTCTCTGTCTCTGTCTCCCCCATCAGTAGAATAAACTCTCTGTCTGTCTGTTTCTCTGTCTCTGTCTCCCCCGTCAGTAGAATGGGGAGGGGTTTTTTAGACAGTTTCGGTGGTGATTCTTGGATTAGGGTAACATCAACCTAAAGTAAAAATATCTTGTGAGAGAGATTGTGAGATGGCTTACATGGCAGGGAGATAATCCTTTATGCCAGGAGTAACACACTGCTCATCAGGCTTGACTGGAAAGTGTGATGCCATCTCCCTTTGAAGCAAGTGTGCAAGTTCCATTGGTGCTGATTGCATGGCCAGTCCCTGGATAAATCTCCTAGGATGTCAGTAGGAGAGCAGATCTAGAGGCCATGCTGATCTTCAACGTAGCTGTCAGATGCCCTCTATTCAGCCGCCGCGTTGCAATCGGCTGTATGTGAAAATATTTAACATGCACTATTCCCACCTCTGGAGGGGGGGGGAGAGGGAGAGGGAGAGAGAGAAGGGGCTAGTAATCCACAAAACAAACCACGTTTATGCATTGATGGGGCTAGAGCTGTGCTCTCCCAGGATGTCACATGAAGGCTGGCTGTTCGCTGACCGGCACAGGAAGCGTTAACGGAGTGTTGGATCTCAATAGTAATGTTTCCATAGCTGCTTTAGCATAACTGCTGTGCTTCCACTATTGGCTGAATGTGGCCTGGTTTCATTTGGAGGATGGTGAAGGGAGGGGAAATAAACCATTTTCCTTGACTGCCATTTCAAATCACACTCTCCGCTCTATGCTGCAGGTGCAAATACGGCTGCAGCTGCAGCCCAGCGGATATGGTCGTATTTTAAAGCGAAAGGATAACTTGGCTTGATTAAACATGGCATGAGAGAAAAATCAGAGAGGCTGTTCAGAATTCCGCGCTAGATAGCTGCAGTGATGCAAACTGCTGCCGTATGCTTTTTAAAAAAAAATTGTCCCCCCAAAGGACCATGTGACGGTGAATCTGCAACTTGCTCCTCCGGAGGGTCTTCTGTGATCTTGATCAGTTGATGTAGTCAAAAATCTCATGGTCCTTTTTGTCAGGGATAGGTGGCTGTCCATCTTGGTCATCTCCCAGTTGTAGTCTGAAGATACCAACTCGCTACAGTTTCGTTTATGTTGGTGGGGGAAGGAGGGGGCGGGACGCTTTCCTTCACATAACATTTCTTCTAAAGCACTTTGAACTCATCCAAAGTTCGCCAAGTATTATTGCTGACTTCCCATCCTGCACTGCTAAACGGCTGCCATGTGTCGCCACGCTGCGTTTTAGTGATGGATTAAAAAACTATCCCAGTTTATTACTACTTTGAGTGCTGAGAATGTGATCGGTCCTGTGCAATCCCAATACACAGAGCACTGGGTATAAAATATTGGCCTCGTCAATACTATTTCTGTAACCAAATCAAGGGTAGTGTGTTTGCCCCATGCCCTGGGGAGAGAACAGTTAAAATGTAGAGTGAGGAGCGAATGTGCATCTTTTAAGTCCTTGGATTTGTGATAAAGGCAAGCTCTTAACTAACATGAGGTGACCTGTGTGTGAAGATAAGGCTGTTTGGTTTTCACACAAGCTAGCAGGTTGAGTTAAAGACTTGTGGGAGAGCTAGGGGGTTTGCTTGACTTACTAACTCATGTGAAAACTATTTGTCTTTGCTAGGATTTTACCTCATGTTAACGAGCTGGAGTTACAATCAGACTCTTTTTCCTAGTGAAGATTTACTTCAGCTGGGCTAAAACACTGGAGTATCCACGGGCTTAGCATTGTCACGGGAATAGTCAGATCTTGTGTCCCTGATTCAGGTATGTTTGTGGGACAGTACTCTCTTGTGGGGTCCTTTGGGATGAAAGGTGCTGAAGGAATGTAAGATCATTACCATTCTACTGCGAAGAGGGGTAAAGTAGGGCAAAGAATATACTTTTTCAGATTTCCCCCAAACTGGCTTCGAATGGCATTGTTGAAGTAGATTTTGATCTACTTGAATCTCAGTGAGCCGTTAAAAGAAACCTTTGAAATGCTTTCCATGCTAATGTTAAATTTGGCCTATTATCATGTGAAGTTGCAATCTTTCACTATATGGAATACATCGCCGTTATAAGGTAAATGTACTAAGCAAAAGAGGGGAAAGTCCTATCTAATCTCACCCATATCGGCTATAGGAATAAGCTGGTTGAGTCTCTTTAAAAATCCTCTGACCAGTATACCTTAAATCAATGCAGAATGTCTTGCATTGGTTGGTCACAGTTTTGTCTGATGAAACCTTTTCTAAGAGGTCCCTGAGAGCAATAAATTTATTAGTGGGAAAAGACTCATAATCTGCATAATTTAATCCATGATGAACTGGCATCTTCCTTTTGATCTCTTGGCAGGTCTTTTTTTGCGATTCTTTTATTTTTTCCTCCAGAAGAATGCCTGTGCTGAATGGGAGGCATCTTTGCCATTTCCGCTGGGCTCAATCCATATTGAAATTTAAGTTTGAAAAGGTAATGCCTGGAATGTTAATTAAAAAGGTAGAACTCTTCTCAGAACTTTGGGGCTCCTCCTTTCTTAGAGTACATTGCAGGCTAAAATTTCTGCAAAATTGTATTGATCTGAAATACTGATTGGGGTCAGGAAATAGAAATAATCCCAGGGAACCTTGTAAATGTAGGCCCTGGTCTTGCACACACCAAAGTGAAGTCCCATTGATGTGAACATGTGTCTGTGTGTGTGTGCAGGCTTGGAGTTGGGTCCTGTTGCCCTTCTGCATACAAAGTTCCTACTGCTCACTAGGGTTGCCAGGTGTCCGGTGTTGAACCAGTATTTGAGCTTTCTGTCTGGGAAACAAATTGAGAAAATACCGCACATATAAATGTCCCATATTTTCTAATTACGTTTTATTATTATCATGAGTATCAGTATGTAGTTGCGTACTGCCTGGCAGAGCGTGTCTACCAGCCAGGCAGTATGCAACTACGCAATAAAGAGGAGGGGGACAGGGCCGGACACACCTGTGCGCCACGCTAGGACCGTGCGCATGACAGGCAGTACCCTGGGATCTGTGTGCGCCCGGGCCAGCCCCGCTTCATGCCGGCTGGTTCCCCCCCGCTCCCCTCCTGGCCAGCCCTGCTTCCCGCTGGCCGGTTCCCACCCCCATCTGAGATCAAGTGTGTCCTGTTTTTAAATCATCTGGTAACCCTACTGCTCACAGGATCAGTCCTCTTAACTATGCAAGATGCAAATTATATGAGTTGTGTATGGGACTTATTTAATGCCTCTCCCTTCCTCCGCCCGATATGCAGTCTCCTCTTGGGTGAACTTGGCCTCAATTTTAGCACCATGAAGTGATGCTGCATGGCAGTTTACAACAGGAAGTGAATAATACCGTAAGCAACTAAAACTAGAAATGAACTTCAAGTAGTCAAGAAATACTCCCCCGTTTTGGGCCAGGATGCTGGGTTATTACACCCATTGTTCTACCTGAAAGATAGTTGGCTCCAGTTAAAGGCCAAAACATAACTTCTGTGATGTGTGCCCTGTGTTCACATGGAGAAAGACAGTCGTAGGTCAGGAATAGGAAAACAATTGCAGCCACGAATAGGTTTTTAAACAGACTAGAATAGAAAATAATAGCAGTTAACCCCCACTGTGGCTCTAGGGAAAAGTGATAGAATCCAGCAGCATCCAGTATTTCTGCTCATGAGCTGCATATGTTGGCATATTAGTATCAATCTGTAAAGGACTTGGTACTGTGTGAGGAAGAGAAAAATCCTACGTTATCTAATATAACTATTGTTACAAAGTCCAGGTAAATGCAGTTGCACCTTCCTTGTGCTGTAGCAGAAGAGAGAATACAGTAGTCAAGGAAACTATCCCAATGCCCTCTGCAAAACTAAATACAGTTATAAAGTTAAATAATAGCAGAGAAAGAAATGAAAGGGTATAGGAAAAGCACTAAAAAACAGTTTTCAGGATACTTGCAGGGAGCATATTTCAGATAGTAGGAGCTAAAGAAGAAAAGATCCTGGTTTCTCCCCCTCCCCCCCCTTCCAAGTTTGGCACATTGTTTTTTGTTAAGGCCAGACGGAAACTTTAGCATCTAGTTTGACTACCTGCATATCACGGAACGTGTATGTGTGTGACTAGCGGATTTACCTGGCATTGCTTGGGACTGTAATTCGGGAATTCCATCAAATGTATTTTTTCTTCATCCCAATAAACTCCTATCGTTCTCTATTCTTTAACAAATAAGCGCTGTAGTCAATTTGGTTTCCAATAACATTGTCTTTTAGTTTTCAAACCTTAAGTTTTGATTCAGCTGTGCCAAACCAGAGCACTACTCCAGATTTTTCAATTTTATCTCTTCTATAAGATTTATTGAGAAGCAATCCTATTTTTCTTGCTCATCTTGGTTCAGTTTCTTTCATTATTCATTCAGGTATGTCAGTTTTGAGGACTGTATTTGCTGCTTTGGTGTTTCTCATTTCTGTTTGATTTTTATGCAAAGCAATCCCACTCCAGGCAGACCCACATTTTCCTGGCACAACCATACCCTTATGTTGCTTTCAGTTATAAGAGAAAGCTGCATACCAAATTTGGTGGTCCTAGCTTTTACCGTTTAGGAGGAGTTCTTGAACAAACAGACTCTCTAAAATATATAGCAAATTAAAAAATTCTTTTAAATCTGTTCCATTCTAAATTGCCGGATAAATTCTTGGCATAAACTGTAAATGGCTGGTATGTCTTCCTTAGCTGCTGGCTTAAAACATTCTTATGCCATGCCTGTTACTCTGGTATGTGGGCACCATGTTACTTCTAAAGTGCATAAGCTGGCTATGTAATGGCACACACAAAAATATTTTGGTGGCTCAGTTTAATTTCCAGAGAAAGGTGCGTGTATCACTAGGACAATCCCAGTGAACTGGCCAAAGACTGAATAGACCACAGAGACTCGGCTACTCTCTAAGGGACAATGCTGCAGGTCAGGATTGAGCCATTCAATGGTATAGAAGAAATGTGTGTGCCGGTTTCCTTTTGAGTGTGGATGAAGAGTCCCGAAGTTCCTCCAGCACATATCAAAGAAAAACTTAGCTTGAGGTTTCCTCATAGGACTGCAGCTTGCTGCTTGCCTTTGGAAAATAGAGAGGAAAAGAAAACAGACAGTCACTGACTTCAGCAGAGAGGTATGACGGTTGCATATCTGAGTGTCTTATCCTTCTGGTGGGTGATAACATGGCTAGGAAGCCCCCTGTGTCATTCGAAGCCCGTCTCGCTTGATTGGTGTACTTCAGATTGAGAATCCAGGCAAAATGAAGATTCCAGATGAAACGTGTATTTGTCTGCGAATACTGATGGCATAAACATAATGGGGGTTGGACACTTCTGCACAGTTAATGATAGGGATGTTCAATTTCGATTAATCAGCTAATTGAGTAGTTGATGGAATTTCCATTGACTACTCGATTAGTTGATAAGGGGGGAGATGCAGCAGGGAATTTGACACCAGTGTGGGCACCAGTCCCCACTCATGCCAGATTCCCTGCTCTGCCTCTGCCTCTCCTGTTCTCCCTCAATCACGGAGACAGCACAGTTAATGATAGGGATGTTCAATTTCGATTAATCAGCTAATTGAGTAGTTGATGGAATTTCCATTGACTACTCGATTAGTTGATAAGGGGGGAGATGCAGCAGGGAATTTGACACCAGTGTGGGCACCAGTCCCCACTCATGCCAGATTCCCTGCTCTGCCTCTGCCTCTCCTGTTCTCCCTCAATCACGGAGACA